GAATTAAAATTGTAATTGTTATCGATTCATGAAAAACTGTCTTAATATGAGTAGAAATATATTTACTATACACCATAAATTAAATATTCTGCCAGAAATTGTCGCTTTAGTTATGTGGGATCGGTGAGTGAGTGCAAATGTTATAATTGATGAGTGAGTAAAGACACGATGTTTATTATCACGAACAATGTTTATTAAGAAGTCTTGAAGAAGTATAGTTAAGAAGTATTGTAGAGAAGAATAGTTAAGAACTGTAGTGTTTGAAGTAACGTGAAGAACTGTCTTTCCTAAACCCTTGTCACCCACCAGCAACCCTTCAGGTTGATGGGTGGTGACAAGAAATTTGGAAGTAGGAAGAAAGTAATAGATTGGATTGGTAGAAGAAAGTGTATGACATTGAAGGGAGGGAAAGCTGACCATTGGATTCTGGGAATCCGAGTCGTGCCAAACCGTCCGACTCGGGGATTAGGTTTTTCAAGGTAATAAAAGATATTAGGAAATTTGGGAATTTTGGATGAAGAATTACGGTATACAATAAGGATGAAGAAAGTTATAAAGTTTTGAAATACAGAAATAAGCTTTGGGTAAAGATCCCCACAGTTAGAATAAAATGTATTTTAGTTTGTAATTATTAAACTCGCCATAAAACGCTCGCGGTTGGTTTTCCGAATTTTGTGCTTTTTTAATGAAAAAATCAACACTAAATTTTCATTAAATAAATATAGAACATTCGCGGTTTTCAGTTACATTTATCCTGGCGAGTTGCAAATATTAAATTTATTTTCTGTTATTTTACATATATTTGAAAAACAAAACAAAAATAGCAAAATATTTTACTGTAAAATGTGTCTAAAAATTATTTTCAATAACCTGAATGTATATAAAAATGCATAAATGTAAAATATAGTTAAGAAGAAGACATATAAGCATTTTATTAGAGTATTTATAAAGTTATGCGACAGATAAGACAAGACTATGAAACCTGTTTGCCAACTTTATTAACTTTTGATGAGCATATTCTTTAAACCGACTTCATACTGATATCTGCAGTGCAAAAAATTTTATATTATCCTGAAGAGTCGGATACGAAAGTTATTTTTGTATAATTTATTAATTTATGTCATTTAAATTCACCGCGACGAAAGTAAAAAATGTAAATTAACAGAATTTACATTGAAGTAGCCACAGAATAAATCACTAAATACAAATATTCAAATGTAATCGAAAGTTTAGTTTTGACATTGACATTGATTATACTTGTGATTCTGACAAACTAACTTTACACCACGCACAATTTATGTTATTGCCCATGCCGAAATACGTGCGCAGACGAGATTGAATCCGCACCTTGCCGAGTCATCCGAAATTGAATTGAGCAACGCGGATCAGCATTGGGTCAAACATCAACAGCGGGAGAAAGTCGATGATCGTCTGTAAACGACTTGCAACGTCTGCAACTTTGGGCAGATCGGACAGGAAAGTTGTACGCCAAAGTCAACTCAACTAAAGACACAATTTATACGTCTGGCATGTGATGCCTGTTGCATTTATTTCATTCAAATTTAGGTCAAAATACTTCAAAATCTTGTTGTGTGTTTTTTGCGGAATTAAATTTGAAGTGATTTTTTATGTGCTTTCATAAACAAAGCCAAATGAAAAATGAAACTGCGTTTCTGGTACTTTCTCAACGATAAAGGCGCGCATAAAAAAGCAACAAAATCCAGATGCAGATGAAGATGAGGAATATGAAGATGGGCGAAAATGCAAATTTCATGTTTATGTTGATGTTGATGATTTTGCGTTGTAGCCACAGTCTGTTCTTTCGTTTAAAACGTTTTCATGTCTAACTTTCAAGTTTGCGCCTCTGGTGACACAAATTCGAATGCTAATTACAGAATAAGAGGAAAATACGAAACCACTTATCGTAATTATCTGTGTCACTGAAAAGAAAACAAAAACAGATGGAAATCGCCTATAATTATAAATACATATAACACAATTATATATTACTTAAGTTAATAACTTTAAATTAAAATGTTCAAATTTTGCATTAGGTATAATTTATAGGCTGACTTTGATTTGCTCCATTTGCACCATTTCCGAGGAGTTATATTTTACTGCGCGTATAGTCTATGACTGCATTACATTAATTATCATAAATAAGTGGGTAATGAATCTCGGAGTGGTCTCGGAAACGAAACGGAAACGAGCCCAATCATAACAATGCGCACGAACGTATCACCTTACTCCAACATCGTAGGCACTCGCAGATATGAAGGTAATATATTCAGAAGAAGTATGTCTAGCGTAAAACAAAGTGAAATAATAAAAATAAGAAGGCTGAGCGATGTGGAGTGGTGAACGGAATTAATCATCGGTGGGAAATACGCCCGAATGCCTGAACAAAGAGTAGAAACACGAAGACCGAGAGAAATAACTGATTAAGTCATCCAGATGGACTGTTAACACAAATTCGTAATTTCTAAACGGGATTTTATCATTTTATTCTGTTCTGAAGAAAATATTGAAATCTTTTCTTTTTTTTTGCTTGAATTTGGTTTAGTTTTAATTTGGTTTGCTGAGAAAACATCCTCGAAGGGTTTTATTTCTGTTGGCTTGCAACCAGATTATATCCTGACACTATGACTGCTTTTTCTCAGGATAATATAAACTGAAAACTTCTACAATCATTGAAAAACAAAAATAATCTTAAAACGAGTTTTTGTAAATTTTTGTGTTGTAGGCAACCAACTTAACACAAAAAATCGAAATGTCTATAACCAAGTTTCAGTTCTCACAGTTATTGAAAATGTAAACTTTCATCACCTCGATAGTATCGATGAAATAATGAAATCGTCTTATCGTCTCGAATTTCACGTTTGCGACTTTTCCATCGCCTTAAATCTTAAATCAAGTGATTTACAATTGATAGTCCGCACACGTTATCCCGACTCGCGTAGACTCTCGATCATTACACACCCACATTTCTTCTCTTTGCATTTTGCACGCCGCGCAAAACTTTAAACCTGCGTCGCTTTGAAGACACCGTTCACATTCTCGACTCTCGCTTCTTTTCTACTCCTTCTCATCTTCTCGTGTGAAAACTAGACTTGCAATGTTATGCGAAACATTCTCATTCCCAGTCGGAGTCGCATATATGTATCTCCAAACAAAACAAACAAAAAAACAGTTCGCAACTCTAGCTTTAACTTTAGCATCAAGTTCAACTTGGTCTGGTGCGGAATATGTGCGAACCGCTGAGCGCTTGCTCCTTGACTTTCGAAACTGGTTCCTTATATCCATATCTTTATGCATTCAGTGCGTCCAGCAGGGCGTTGAGCGTGAAGTGTGCAGAAGTGCAGGTTGCAGCAAGTTGCAAGTTGCAAGTGAGTCAGGTTCAGGGTCATCTCGAACCAGACTTAAGTCACTGAAATAACTTCTGGACTGCGACTCTACATACAACTCACTCCACTCAATCCAAGTTTTTTTAAAATCTTTAAATGCTGTTTTCAGACGCTCGCACTTGAACTTGATTATTGACGCGGTGTGTAAAAGATTACAAGACGTTCATAAATTACATCATTAACCAAGCAACCAGCGCAAGCATTTTAAACCCATTTGGACATCTTCCAAGTGAAGATAAAACATAGCACCAACTTTTTTACATTCATATAAATTACTTTATTTGTTTTTTATTTGAGGCCTGCTCATGAATGAGTAAATTAGTGACTAATTTAACTATCAAGTACCCGCATGATATTCAACTACATTAATTTGTTTCTTTTATCTACTTTAATGATTCTCACTTGACTTACTTACAACGCATAAAAGCAAAAATGTGTGTAATATAAATTTTATTGGGTATCGGCTATTAAAGGATAATAATATCGTTTACGTGTTCAACTAGACCGTAAACAAGTCTGCGTGAAATTGGAATCTATCAGAGTTGCAGTACCAGCATATTGCATCGATGATTATTGCTTTGTTTGTAATAAACAACGCATGAAACAAAGTGTTGTTAAACGTTTAGCGTCATTCCACCATTTTCCATAGAATATTTACCCATAATAACATTTGGCGGTCGATATTATGCTTATCTATACCCAAATACAAACGCCTACGCTGATAACAATAAATGTGAAGAATTCCTATTTATAAAATGTTATTGTATCGAGAAATGATAATACTATCATAATATGTTTATGCTTTAAGTTTCCGGCAAATATTTCTATTTGAGAACGTGTGGAATTCGTTGAATCATACACTTACAACACATTTTTGTTGATGGATAATGTAGTTGAACAGCTTTATAATATTTCATTGATTACCGATATCTAGCAGGTGTGTGATTACGTTGTATTACCATCTGTGGTGTTACAACTGTTACTAAATATACTTGAATCTCTCAGCAATCAATTTATAAAAATGAGTTAATTTGGCTTAATATGAATATCAATGTAAGTAATTTCTTAGAAGCCGTTATTGAACAGGTAACATTACCAGCAAAACAACAACGTGAATGAAGACACAAGCGAGCGCAGACGATATGTTTATAGACAACTTGCTTTGAATGCTTTTTTGAATGGTAGTCAGCAATGTGTCTTACAGTTTCACCACGTAACGGATTGTTTCTTATCTATGTGTGCCTTCTATTGATGCTCCGTGCGGAAGTGCCATTCATTTGCATTCTACAAACATGAACTAATACATCTGCTTAACAACTCACAATGAACAACACGCTAACATACAAGGTATTTTATATATAATCATGAACAATGCAGGGAACATAACCTAACACGTAGTACTTTCGATTAGGTTATGTACCGATAGTGACATCTATGTATTATTTCAACTACTACAAACTAGTTAAAGGAGTTATAATGAATGAGTAGTTTTATGTTTCAAGTGTATTTCTAGTTTCCATGTTCGGTATCGTCACACAGTGCAATTGCATTGTCCTTTCGAGAATTTTATTGTATTGTATTCTGCTACTCCATATCAGTTCAATTTGCGTCACCTACACTTCCACCGATTACATTGCATTGTATTCTGTTTTTGGTTGACTTGAATTTCATGGAATTGAACGCACGTTTCAGCTATCATTCATATTTATTTCAACAGTATCTAATGAACACATTTAGTAGACAATAATTTTTGATGAATCAAAGTGCTCGGAATTGATTGATGTTTGATAGGTCTATGATTATTACAAGTAATTTAAATGTGGATGAATCGATAAATGTGAGTATCATGTTGGCAGTTGAGTGCGACTTGTTGCGTCGTTTGCTCCTGAAACTGCATTTAGTCGCTTGTTGGCATGTGCTTCGTAACGGTTTTAATGTAACCAAGCCGGTTTTTTATGCACTGATCGATTGATCGACTCGTGGTCAATTCAACTGTTCATCCAACAACGTAGTTTCCATTTCTTTTCACTGCTGTGCATTATAACTGTTTTGTTTTCGTGGCGCGTTTAAAGTCCGGTTCGACTCTGACGTTTCGCAAACAGTTCATCATCGATATCGTCGATGTCCACCGGATCTGTATAACCGGAATCGTCGTATCGGCTTCGATCCGGTGTGCGAGTACACCTACTACCACCAGTGGGACTTCGCGCTGTCAACCGCAACACTGGGTCGTCATATCGCCTCGAAACCAGCGTAAAGTCATGATGTGCATCTACAAGCTTCTGGAGTCTATTGATCACTTCGTAATCGGGCAGTGGGAGGACAATGCCGAGGATTTTCGCAACAGATGCGCGGAAGTTGATGAGTTGGGCTTCGCGGCGATTCACCTCGCAGTACTGCTCTTTGAGACGGGCGAGTTCATCGCGTAACAATTGTATTGATTGGTCGCTCAGGTGACGTTCTTGATCGATGGTATCACCTGTGGTTCGGACTTGGTCTTTGAGTAGAGTTACCTTACGATTGTAACGAGTTCGCAGAGATTCGGATTCAATTAGACGTTTTTGTAGTTCTTCTATTTTTCTTCCACGCTCTAATGCAGTAATCTGCAAAATAATAAATTTTATAACCATTTAAAATTAATTATAAGTTTAATGCATACTTTATAATCAGCTGCTTCAGCTAACTGTGCATTTAAATCCCGAATTTGTGCTTTCGCATCAGAAAGTTGTAATTGGAGACGATCCGCTTGTTTCGATAACTTTTTAGTGCGGCAATTAGCCTCATCACGTTCCGTTTGCAGTATACATTTTGTCTTAGCGTTATCTTCTTGCAAAGATAATTTTCTTCTTAACAAATCTAAATGCAGCTCTTTTCTTGAGATTTGTTCTCGAAGAGTTCGGACTTTCCTTTGAAGTTGGTAAACTAACGCAGTCTACAACACAAATAGGAACAATACTATACTATATAAAATTAATTAATTAATTTAAAACAAAATTTAAACATCAAACTTTATTTTTTAATTTTTAATCTTACGTCGCGCAAATCGTGAAATGAACGCTGACGACAAAGACGCGGCAAGTTACCATGATAACCACTGCAGCAAAGCAGCTGCATGCAAAACAAAACAACAATTACTAGACACACCTTACCAACAATTATGCAAACAATAACTTTACCTTATCAACCAGTTTGTCACCTTCAGAGCGCGCTAATTGTTCCGCTCTCAAAAGTAGAGATTCTGTGTGCAATTCAACGCCAATGTCGTGTGAAATTTCATCCATGTTCATTGCTCTCGCTAGTCGCTCCAAAAACGTCATAAACTACAAACCAACAAACATAAATTAAACCATATACCATTTTGAGCAACATTTAAGGAGTTTTACGGTGTTTTTATCACGCTTAAGTCCTTCTCGAGAGGCTTCACATGCGTTTATTTCCACATCGGTTTTGTGGATCCTTGACTCCAACAAAACTTTCTCTTCTTCCAGTAGACGTAATTTAGTTGTTGCTTGATCACACAGGGAGAGTTGTCTGGTCAGTGCTTGGGACTCATGAGTTAATTTGTCTCTTAAAGATTCAATTTGCTAAAATTATTTATGTTAACTTAAGTTATTTTAAGCATAAAATTGGTAAAATTACAGCTGATTTTTCTTTACTATCCGCGATTAACTCTCTGATTCTATCTTTGATGCATGTTTCAAGTCCTTCGATAAACCGCGACGGTGAACTTAATAAAATCGATAAGGATTCCAACATATGACGATAATCATGTTGAAGACGAGCAACTCTATCATCACGACCCTTTAATTCCTCTTTAAACAAACACAATTATTTTTCATTAAATTATTTTGATTTAAACTAATTTTAATACCTTTAAGATGAATTATTTCTGAATCCTGCGCAGCAACATTTCCTGTAATATTTCCTAAAGTTCTAGTTGAAGAATTAAGTTTATCCTTGCAATCTAAAAGTTCTCTTTCTGAAACTCGTAATTGCATCTCGGTTGATTCTTTCTCTTGGCGTAAATGTTCAATTTCAACAAGTTGTGATGCGGATTGACGTTGCAATGCATCTTTATCTACTAAACATCGTTCAAGGGTATCTTTTACCGATCGTAGTTCAATTTCTAATGATGCTAAATTATCACTAGTTGTAGATGTTCTTGTTCTTAACCGACTTGTTTCCTATTGAAATAATTTCAAAACTGAAAGATAATGTGGTTTATGGTGAGTTAATCTTACCTGAACTAATTCTGCCGCTTTGTGTATTAAACTCTCTGTGGAAACATGGCTAGCATCACAAAAATCCACCCCTAGGGCAACCGCCAAACGTCTTACAAGATCATTTAACCCCTGACGTGCATTTTCTTTCTTTTGTTCTTCACTACATAGTTGATTCTCGGTAGTCCTTAACTTTTTCTCTAATTCTTTGACTCTTTCCTCGGCGTATCTTGCATCTCGATGTAAACTTTGCATGGCAATCTCGTTCCTCCCTTGGGTGGCATAGTTGCTTCGTTCGCGTTCTTCTAATTCGGTTATTCTTTGTTTGAACGACGCGATAACGGCGTGTTGCCTTGCTGCTTGTTCCCGCAGATTGTCCGCTTCGGCTTGCAAGTCGATACATCGCTGTTCTCTTATTCTCATTTGTGTTTTTGAATCGTTAAGTTCTTCAGAGAGACGATCGCGTTTGAATTGCAGCGCGGCCACTTCAGCGCGAAGGGACGTTGTCACGTCGACGTCACCTGTTTCCATCTGATGGAGAAAATCAAGTTGAGGTAGAATTCGCGTGATTGTGGGATATTTTTAGCGTTTGGTGGCTTTGGATTGGATTGTGCATGTCGATGCCTGTAATTAGGTCGATTTCGTATCATGTTGTATCATGTTATCCGTGTTCTGCACTGAATGAAACCGTCCCCTGACTAAACTGCATGTTATATTTGACGATATTGACAGAAAATCCTTTTAGCCAAATGAAAATATTGGAAAATGTGATTAAATTGGTTTTAAAGTGTTCGAGGACGAATTGAATATACAAATGTAATGTTTGACGTGTTGATATCTAGTTTAGCATTTGCTTAAACGTGTAATTTATGCAATTTCACTTGGTAATGTCCTGCGCAGTTTGTCTATGTTCACTGTCCTGGCACGTAAACAAAATGCCGGGCGTGCGGTTGACGTTTTCGGTCGTTTGGCTGGTTGGCTCGTTTGTTTCGAATGCGAATAGTCCTCGGCATACAACATTCATTACATGTGCAGGCGACCCAACAGGACAGCAAACAACTATTGCACAATGCATCAAATTGCAAGTGTGCAGAAGCGCGATTTGTAGATATAACATTCGTGAACGTTGTTCATTCAGTAACAACAGACAGACTTCAATTATTACAATTTTAGTCCTGTGGTCGTGTTAAAATAATATTACTGAATGAAATGTGTAGCGTAATGCTTTATTTATGTATGAAAATTGAATGGTTACGTTGTGTGAAAGTTGTGTTGACGCTTTTGTTTTCCAGCGAGTTCCTTCAACTTGCGCATTATTATCAGGTGGCGAGACTGAAATTGTGAAATTGTGCTGCCATGACAGTTGTGTGCATTGTTTTGTCTGCTTACAAGATTGACTTGTGGATAATGTTAAAGCTTTGTTTTAGTACCTGCGAGTACTCTTTGTTTGACAACGCGATCTGATAATTTGAAATCAATACTTTAGTCTAACAATTCGTAAGCTCGTTACCATAGCAAAAAAATAAAACTTTTATTGGTCCATTTGTAGGTGGGTGAAACCGCAAGTCATAAATAGGTTTCTGCAAACGTACTTCTTTTCTAATTTTAGTCATTTCCCGGCTTTCCGCGCCCTCCTCATGCATGATACATTTCCGCGCTTTTCTGAACCCTCAACGATCAAACTTTTCTAACTTATCATTTATCATTTTGGTTTTATTTGCATTTCAATGTCATTTCGTGTCTGCGGTGTTATTTATCTAAATGTGAAATCTACGATTCATTAATTTCCACGCTTCATTTACAAAGTTTAAGTTTACTTTAACTTTTTAATGTTTAGAGGCTGTATAAAAATATTCTTTTTGCTTTTAATCTTACCTCGATGTTGACTGGTTGGTTTAACACTTCGAAGATTTTCCAGTCGTCGTCAGTATTTCCCGATGCTTCCGACGGTGGGACGGCCATTGCGCGCTTGTTGTCTTTCCATTCAAATAATAGCACTAAATGTGCCTTGAAGGACAAGAAAACTTTAACTAACTAGTGGCTAGGTAAGAATACGACGTGCACTTTGCACTGAACCTCTGACAACGCAGGGAAAAGTCGTGTTTTCGGTGAAATGTTTACCAAGAGCAAATTTGTATAATCGATATTTTGCCTGAACGAACGCAATGGCACATTTCCATGCGGGTTTTCACCGGTGCACATAGTGCACGAAACACCTTGTTTCACGGGGGTTGAACACAATGAGCCACGGGGGAAAGTCGATTTTCATTTGCATTATACTTACGCGCTATTGCTCTCTATTCATGCAAATATGAATCACAGAAATGCAGAATTAAAATTGTTGCTGCATAATTATTTTATATTGTGTTAAATATTGCTCATAATTGATTTAAATAATTAATTGTCAACATATTTACATATAAACGTGCTTATTTGATGTGTACTTTTAAAACTTTGCGCTATTTTCGTCTGGAAAATTATTTTAGACTTCTTCTATAGGCAACCCAAAGTACAATCGTACTATATTGAAAGTTCCCACCGCTTCCTGCAATATCAATCGCTTTAAAAACTTAGTTAGATGAAATAGTGAATAAATAACCTAATTATATGATTTAAATAGAATTTTAAATGAATAAACTATCAATTTTTTGTTATGTTTATTGAAATCAAAACAAATTATATCCAGTTATTAATTATTTACATCCCGATAAAAAATATTTCAACGTCTCTACAGTGGCACCAGTAATCATGACCTTTTTAACCTTTGTTGATAACTGAATGAATGCACGATAACATAATTCTCTGAACTGTTAGCTAAGAACTCGCCACTTACAAACAGATTTACTTTCAAACGAGCTCAGATAGTTTCATTCTGTTGGAGCAAACGTTGCGGGTGTTTTAAAAGATGTTGCGTTACGCTTGGTTTATCCTTGCGATCGCTGTGGTAATTCCACGTGAGGTGCAGCCATGTCCACGTGCTCCAAGTATTTATCAATCAAGAGTTAACAAAATTCCCGGAGACAATGGCTTCCAAATTAAAGTCAACGACAACAAAGATAAATATAATCCCGGAAAAGTATATACCAGTAAATATCAACAATATTTAATTACTAATTCTTGAAATGCTATAAAATTGACTAATTATTTTAGTGTATTTGATGGGATCACGGAGTTTTGATAAACTTCAACATTTTAAAAGATTCACTATTAATGTAGAAAGTGCTGACGACCCGGGTAATATCTCTCCACAAAAAGTTGGCAGTTTTCAGTTGTTTGCTGACTCACTTACGAAATTCAATGAGGATTGTGTAAACACGCTATCAGAATCAAATGACTTAAATAAAACAGAAGTATTCTTTATGTGGACTGCTCCCCCTCCGGGTTCCGGATGTGTCACTTTCAGAGCAATGATCTTCCAAGATTCCACGCATTGGTACGCCGATGATGAGAGGTTGAGCAAAACTCTTTGTGAGTTTACAGATAGTGATGTTAAATATGATGAAAATGACTGCTGTGCGTGCGATGAAGCAAAATACAGTGTAAGATATTTAAATAGGTTTTCCCAAATTTTTTTGTCAAAACAGAATGTTATGTTGATGAATACTTTCAGTTGATATTTGAAGGAATCTGGTCAAATGTGACTCATCCAAAAGATTTTCCATTTACACTGTGGCTAACACATTTCTCTGATGTCATTGGTGCGTCGCATGAACGCAACTTTAGTTTTTGGGGAGAGGGCCAGTATGCTTCTGAAGGTTTCAGAAGCTTGGCCGAATGGGGATCTATTCGATTGATGGAATCTGAGCTCCGAGCAAAGAGCAAATATTTAAGGACCATTGTAAAAGCAGCAGGTCTTTGGTATCCTAAAGTTAATACTAATACTTCTACAACGTTCAAAGTTGATAGGAGACATCATTTGGTGTCTTTAGCTTCCATGTTTGGACCTTCTCCAGATTGGGTTGTAGGCGTTGATGGATTAAATTTATGTTTAAAGAATTGTTCTTGGATAGAAAATTTGAAAGTGGATCTGTATCCTTATGATGCTGGTACGGACAGTGGCCTGACATACATGGTATTTCAAAATAATACTTTTATAAATATTGGTTTATGAGTTAAAATTATAAATTTTAGTCACCTAACGCGGAAACTTTACCAAGAGAAAAAATGTATCGTATTACAACTAAATATCCGGAAGACCCTAGGGCACCATTTTATAATATGAACTCTGACACAATGCAACCAATGGCACGGTTTTATTTTAAGAGAGATAAGTTAGTGCCAAAGTCCTGTGATGAAAACTTTTTGAATGCACAACTGGATATAAGTGAAAATACTGAGGATACCACTAGAGGTACATAAACCTATATTTAAACTTTTAATTATTAATAATTTACGGGTTAAATTATAGCTGAGTGTGCTGTTACTGAGTATTCAACTTGGAGTGAGTGTTCTGTCACTTGCGGAAAAGGTTTGAAGATGCGCTCACGCGAATACAGAATGCCTCAGAAAGCCGCCATGTTTGAATGCAATCGTCAGTTGATCTCAAAAGAGATGTGTGTTGCTGCTGTCGCAGAATGTGAAGGGTATTACCAGAAAACAATATTTGCTTGATTTACTTTAATATATTTTCCATAGAGGTGAAAATCAAGAATCATCAGAAGAAAAGTTTGATTTTGATGACAAGTTATGTGCAACTACAGAGTTTACTGAATGGTCAGAATGTTCGGAAACTTGTGGAATAGGTTTCAAAACACGTTCTAGAAAGTTCATTGATCGCATGGGTCGGAAAAAGTGTCCAACTGTTGCTACAGGTTAGAAAATCCATTCAATTCTTAGGGTTAATAATATAAATGATAAATATTCGCAGAGGAGCGTGAAAAATGTATGGGCCCACCATGTTCGCAATCCGAAGCATCTGATCCAATGTGCCCAGTCACCCAATGGAGTGATTGGAGCCCATGCAGCGCATCCTGTGGCAAAGGAGTAAAAATGCGCTCTAGATTACTTTTAGTTGAACCAAGCCTACAAGAAAAATGCAGTTCTCGCGTTGAAATGATACAGCAACGTCCTTGTGTAGAAGCTGATGATTGCCGATTTGATATGCAAACAGCTAAAGAGGTTTGCATGGAGGAAAGTGTCCAAGGTCCGTGCACTGGTCACTTCAATCGATATTATTTTGAATCCAGTAAAATGATGTGTGTACCTTTTGTGTACGGAGGTTGCAGAGGCAACAAGAACAATTTCTTAACTGTTGCTGAATGCGACAATGTTTGTGGTGTAGTTAGGAATATCCTCAAGGGAATGCCACCACCTTCCCAAGATTTTAATTCTTTTGCAAATCCTGCTGTTCTATCATCATCTGCGGTACAAGGTCACAACTTAGAATCAGTGGACTGTATGATGTCCGAATGGTCCCCTTATGGATTATGTTCTCAATCATGTGGTCTTGCTTACGCTGAACGTTTCCGTATGATTAAACGTGAGCCACAAAATGGTGGAAAGGCATGTCCGAAGCGCTTAACTTCACGTAGGCGTTGTCTCGGATTACCTCCATGTTAAATATGACAACTGTTGTAAAAGTTATAAAGATATTAAAAATACAACCCACGCAGGTGTTCTTTGTTTATAAAATTTAATTGCCCATGCGATCAGAGCGCTACCGTGAAATTAAAAATTTGTTTTTCTTTGATTGATAAAATTTTATATATAATAACTTTTTTTATTGAATCCTGGTATACTGTGCATAATATACACGTGGTCATCGTAGATTTAAAATTGTTTACTTAATAACATCATTGTCTTTTAGCACGTTTTATGATTTGTGGATTTATGCATTTTTATTGTGTTGTTCGATGCGTAACAATTAAAAGCATATTTTTGGAAATAAAAGTTTATAAAACACCAAGTTTTTTAAATTGAATTTTATTAAAGAAAAACCCAGAGTTGTTGAATAAACGTTTCCTGGGTATGAAGCTAACGATTATCTTATTACCTTTGATTATCATCGGTTCCTTTGCGGGAAAAGTTTGTAAAATAAAATGTCCTAATGGAGAAAAAATTTACGGTAATTAATCCACATTCAATTAAAGTGATAACCTTAAGTGGCTTTCAATTACTAGCAATGGGAACATCCCAGGCTGACAAACGAACGATTGTCGATGTACATAATAAATATCGGCGAATGATTGAAGAAGGAAAAGTACCCGGTCAGCCACGGTCAACTAAAATGGAGAAAATGTATTACGATGCAAATCTGGGACGGATTGCAAGGAATGTTACTCAGACTTGTAAAATGGAACATGTTATAGTTAAAGACAGTCAGTAAAAAATATGTGAATTAATAAGATAAACAAAATAATTATATCACATTTTAGAGCGGTGGGCATTTGTTGGTCAAAATTTGTATATAGAACGAAGTAGTAAAAAGTGCAAGAAGACCAACTGGGAAACTGCTATTAAGAAGTGGTTTGACGAACAAAAATTATATAAATATCCGAAACCGCCCACTAGTAAAACTGGTCATTATACACAGGTGTGTTATTTTAAGACTTATTAACAAAATGATACATTTTAAAACACTTGCACACTTGTAGGTGGTGGCTCAAAATACAACTGCCATTGGTTGCGACTATGTATTCTTTTATAACCCCCAAAAACCAAAAAACCCATATACTAAACTATACGCTTGCAATTATGGACCAGCGTAAGACATTCAGGTCAAAGTAAATTAATTTTTTATTAAATCGGCTATTTTTAGGGGAAATGTTGAAGGTATGCCGCCATATAATGTACCTACTTGAAGATGTTTCAAGCGGTGGTATCATGTCGGTAAATTGATAGTAGGTAATACTTAGAGGTATTTATATATGTATTTGGCTTTCAAATCTATGTTGACATAAATAATATAATAGAAAAAGAATTAGAAAATAATTAGGTACAGTATTAGGAGTATTTATATAAATCGTTATGGGGTTAGTGTGCTCATTGATCTAAAAATCACTTTAAAAATATACTTTTATATTTCTGCATTTTCAACTAATGTGTTGAATAAATGTAACCTTTAGATTAATCTCTGTATCTTGTAAACTAATTTATTTTTGGTAAGATACATGTTATTGTCATTTTAGGTAAAGTGGTTAATGATATTGAGCAATTTATTAATTGGCTTGGCATGTTTTAAACCAGATCAGGTATATATTATATCTGGCTGCGTTATTTTCACAACAAATACGCTCTTATACACCAAGATACACACCGAGGTCGCGTGCCGCCAATAGGAACATCTTTCTTTATCTTATCACAATCCGTCGCGTCGCGTGCATGCTGGACAGGTTTGTTTCGTCGGTGGACTGCAGTTAGTTTCGTACCGGTTGCCGTTTAGACGTTTCTCCGTGCTCGTGGGATTATTCAGCATCTTATTCCACAAATTAGACAAACGATCAAATTTAGTCGTAACGACGTGTATGGGGTCCTGTGTGTTTTTTGATTCCGTTTAAACAGTGTACCTTTTATACATTCGGCCGCGATCTTAACAATTGTTAGTAGTGTGTGCCGACGCAGGATTGGGTGTAGTGCTTGTCGGCAGCTTCTTATTGCTAGGTCAGCCGTGTGCAAATTTTGTTCCTCTACGTATCAATCTTACATAGTATCCCAACTCATCTTTATTTTCTTTACTGTGGTATATGTTTTGTCGGGGGTTCTCATTGACGCTACGCTGGTAAGTTTATTATTCAATTATATTTATTTAAAGTTAATTATAACGATACGATATTGTCGCCCCCAGAAATCATGGGCGCTAGTTGATTCCAGTTCTACCCAGCAATAGTAGGTTCAAGTCCTACTAGGGTAGCAGTAGAAGTGACTTTTATTTAGGGCACCGAATTGAAAAATGTCACTTCTTAGTCCATTTAGTGGCGTTTTTTGACCTTTTACCGTTGGAAATATAATAATTTAATATTTTTATCTGATAGAGAATTTTCCAATCTTTCATAATCAGCAATTTGTTGGTTGTTATCGCTTTTAGTTGAAGAGATATTAATTATCGAAATCGTCGATAAAAATTATCAAGCACCAGCCCTTGGCAATTTTTTCTTAAGAATTAAAATTTTATCTCTCAGATTTCCACTTTAAATAGCCTATCTTATAGATAATAGTCCGTAGATTAAGACGCTGCGATCAGATCCTAATTATCTCTTTTAGTTTAGGAGATATTCGCGATTGAATAAAATGGGCAAAAATAGAAAAATGTCACTTTTTAGTACTTTCAATGCCGTTTTTTGACCTTTTACTGTAGGAAATATAATTATTTTATATTTTTATCTGATAGAGAATTTCCTAATCTTTCATAATCAGCAATTCGTTGGTTGCTATGGCTTCTAGTTTAAGAGATATTAATTATCAAAAATCGTCGAAAAAAAGTATCAAGCACCCCCTTGGCAATTTTTTCTTAAGAATTAAAATTTCATCTCTCAGATTTCCGTTTTAACTAGCCTATCTTATAGAGAATAGTCTGTAGATTAAGGCGCTGCGATCAGATCTTAATTATCTCTTTTAGTTTAGGAGATATTCGCGATTGAATAAAATGGGCAAAAATTGAAAAATGTCACTTTTTAGTACTTTTAGTGCCGTTTTTTGACCTTTTACTGTAGGAAATATAATTATTTTATATTTTTATATGATAGAGAATTTCTTAATCTTTCATAATCAGCAATTCGTTGGTTGCTATGCCTTCTAGTTTAAGAGATATTAATTATCAAAAATCGTTGACAAAAAGTGTCAAGCACCCCCCCTTGGCAATTTTTTCTTAAGAATTAAAATTTTATCTCTCAGATTTCCGTTTTAACTAGCCTATCTTATAGATAATAGTCCGTAGATTAAGACGCTGCGATCAGATCTTAATTATCTCTTTTAGTTTAGGAGATATTCGCGATTGAATAAAATGGGCAAAAATTGAAAAATGTCACTTTTTAGTACTTTTAGTGCCGTTTTTTGACCTTTTACTGTAGGAAATATAATTATTTTATATTTTTATCTGATAGAGAATTTTTTAATCTTTCATAATCAGCAATTCGTTGGTTGCTATGGCTTCTAGTTTAAGAGATATTAATTATCAAAAATCGTCGAAAAAAAGTATCAAGCACCCCCCCTTGGCAATTTTTTCTTAAGAATTAAAATTTCATCTCTCAGATTTCCGTTTTAACTAGCCTATCTTATAGAGAATAGTCTGTAGATTAAGGCGCTGCGATCAGATCTTAATTATCTCTTTTAGTTTAGGAGATATTCGCGATTGAATAAAATGGGCAAAAATTGAAAAATGTCACTTTTTAGTACTTTTAGTGCCGTTTTTTGACCTTTTACTGTAGGAAATATAATTATTTTATATTTTTATCTCATAGAGAATTTCTTAATCTTTCATAATCAGCAATTCGTTGGTTGCTATGGCTTCTAGTTTAAGAGATATTAATTATCAAAAATCGTTGACAAAAAGTGTCAAGCACCCCCCCTTGGCAATTTTTTCTTAAGAATTAAAATTTTATCTCTCAGATTTCCGTTTTAACTAGCCTATCTTATAGATAATAGTCCGTAGATTAAGACGCTGCGATCAGATCTTAATTATCTCTTTTAGTTTAGGAGATATTCGCGATTGAATAAAATGGGCAAAAATTGAAAAATGTCACTTTTTAGTACTTTTAGTGCCGTTTTTTGTCCTTTTACTGTAGGAAATATAATTATTTTATATTTTTATCTGATAGAGAATTTCCTAATCTTTCATAATCAGCAATTCGTTGGTTACTATGGCTTCTAGTTTAAGAGATATTAATTATCAAAAATCGTCGAAAAAAAGTATCAAGCACCCCCCCTTGGCAATTTTTTCTTAAGAATTAAAATTTCATCTCTCAGATTTCCGTTTTAACTAGCCTATCTTATAGAGAATAGTCTGTAGATTAAGGCGCTGCGATCAGATCTTAATTATCTCTTTTAGTTTAGGAGATATTCGCGATTGAATAAAATGGGCGAAAATTGAAAAATGTCACTTTTTAGTACTTTTAGTGCCGTTTTTTGACCTTTTACTGTAGGAAATATAATTATTTTATATTTTTATCTGATAGAGAATTTCTTAATCTTTCATAATCAGCAATTCGTTGGTTGCTATGGCTTCTAGTTTAAGAGATATTAATTATCAAAAATCGTTGACAAAAAGTGTCAAGCACCCCCCCTTGGCAATTTTTTCTTAAGAATTAAAATTTTATCTCTCAGATTTCCATTTTAAATAGCCTATCTTATAGATAATAGTCCGTAGATTAAGACGCTGCGATCAGATCTTAATTATCTCTTTTAGTTTAGGAGATATTCGCGATTGAATAAAATGGGCAAAAATAGAAAAATGTCACTTTTTAGTACTTTCAGTGCCGTTTTTTGACCTTTTACTGTAGGAAATATAATTATTTTATATTTTTATCTGATAGAGAATTTTCTAATCTTTCATAATCTGCAATTCGTTGGTGGCTATGGCTTCTAGTTTAAGAGATATTAATTATCAAAAATCGTCGAAAAAAAGTATCAAGCACCCCCCCTTGGCAATTTTTTCTTAAGAATTAAAATTTCATCTCTCAGATTTCCGTTTTAACTAGCTTATCTTATAGAGAATAGTCTGTAGATTAAGACGCTGCGATCAGATCTTAATTATCTCTTTTAGTTTAGGAGATATTCGCGATTGAATAAAATGGGCAAAAATTGAAAAATGTCACTTTTTAGTACTTTTAGTGCCGTTTTTTGACTTTTTACTGTAGGAAATATAATTATTTTATATTTTTATCTGGTAGAGAATTTTCTAATCTTTCATAATCAGCAATTCGTTGGTTGCTATGGCTTCTAGTTTAAGAGATATTAATTATCAAAAATCGTCGAAAAAAAGTATCAAGCACCCCCCCTTGGCAATTTTTTCTTAAGAATTAAAATTTCATCTCTCAGATTTCCGTTTTAACTAGCTTATCTTATAGAGAATAGTCTGTAGATTAAGACGCTGCGATCAGATCTTAATTATCTCTTTTAGTTTAGGAGATATTCGCGATTGAATAAAATGGGCAAAAATTGAAAAATGTCACTTTTAGTACTTTTAGTGCCGTTTTTTGACTTTTTACTGTAGGAAATATAATTATTTTATATTTTTATCTGGTAGAGAATTTTCTAATCTTTCATAATCAGCAATTCGTTGGTTGCTATGGCTTCTAGTTTAAGAGATATTAATTATCAAAAATCGTCGAAATAAAGTGTCAAGCACCCCCCCTTGGCAATTTTTTCTTAAGAATTAAAATTTCATCTCTCAGATTTCCGTTTTAACTAGCCTATCTTATAGAGAATAGTCTGTAGATTAAGACGCTGCGATCAGATCTTAATTATCTCTTTTAGTTTAGGAGATATTCGCGATTGAATAAAGTGGGCAAAAATTGAAAAATGTCACTTTTTAGTACTTTTAGTGCCGTTTTTAGTCCTTTTACCCTAGGAAATATAATTATTTTATATTTTTATCTGATAGAGAATTTTCTAATCTTTCATAATAAGCGATTCGTTGGTTGCTATGGCTTCTAGTTTAAGAGATATTAATGATCAAAAATCGTCGAAAAAAAGTATCAAGCACCCCCCCTTGGCAATTTTTTCTTAAGAATTAAAATTTTATCTCTCAGATTTCCATTTTAAATAGCCTATCTTATAGATAATAGTCCGTAGATTAAGACGCTGCGATCAGATCTTAATTATCTCTTTTAGTTTAGGAGATATTCGCGATTGAATAAAATGGGCAAAAATAGAAAAATGTCACTTTTTAGTACTTTCAGTGCCGTTTTTTGACCTTTTACTGTAGGAAATATAATTATTTTATATTTTTCTCTGCTACAGAATTTTCTAATCTTTCATAATCAGCAATTCGTTGGTTGCGGCTTCTAGTTTAAGAGATATTAATTATCAAAAATCGTCGAAAAAAAGTATCAGCGATCGGATCCTAATTATCTCTTTTAGTTTACGAGATATTCGCGATAGTATTCAAAATTTGTGTTATACTCAGTAATCAATCGATTATTTATTTGTGATTTTTGATCGCGTTTGTTATGTATATTACAAGACTCGTGTAAGTATTGTTTCATCAGCACAGATTGTTTATTTTGTGTTGATTGTTAATTACATAATTCAAATGTATGAAATATATTTGTTTTAATTAATGTTTTCTTTTAGTTACAGAATTCGTTGTGCCTGGCAATCCGATAAGCTGTACACTGGTAAGTTTATAATTCAATTATATTTTTCTCCCTGTATTGAATTTGTAGTTTTTTTAATATAACACGCGAACGCGGTGTCACAATAAGCTCGGAATAATTTTTACAGATGCAGAATTTAATTTTGTATCTTCCTGTATTGAAATTTATTGCGAAAAAATTCTGTAACGCGAGTTACGTTGAAAGTTCTGTGTATACCCACTAGTACTCGTTGCGCTTGGAATTGTAGTTTTTTTGATATAACACTCGAAAGCGGTGTCACAATAAGTCTGGAATAATTTTTCCAGATACAGAATTTAATTCTGTATCTCCGTGTATGGAAACTTAATGCAGGAAAGTTCCGTAACGCGAGTTATGTTGAAAGTTGCATGTTTGCGCCGTAGTACTCGTTGCGCTTGGAATTGTAGTTTTTTTGATATAACACGCGAACGCTGTATCACAATATGCTCGGAATAATTTTCCCAGATGCAGAATTTAATTTTGTATTTCTCTGTATTGAAATTTATTGCAAGAAAATTGCATAACGCGAGTTATATTGAAAGTTGTGTGCATACGCACTAGTACTCGTTGCGCTAGGAATGGTAGTATTTTTAGTATAACATGTGAACGCGATGCTAGAATCAGTTTGGACTATTTTTCCCAGATGCAGAATTTAATTCTGTATCTTCCTGTGTTGAAACTTATTGTGTGAAAATTCCGTAACCCGAGTTATATTAAAAGTTGTGTGTCTCCCACCCCTTGCTCATTTTTTCTAATGAATTAAAATTTTATCTCTTAAAGTTTCAATTTAATTATCTTATTTTACGGAAAATTTGCCCTAGTTTAAGAATTTTTAATCTGTTTTTTCTATTGCGTTTAATTTTTGAATAAATTGAGCATTAGAAGATTTTCCTTGTTTGTCCTTGTAATCCTTTCACGCTGTTGCCATTTGCCGCATGCTGTTATTTACTATTGCCGCGTTTAATGTACATTATTGTGTAAGTGGTGATACTTTTTGTGTTTTGTATGCATACTTATGCAAGTTGTTTTAACTTTTGTTTTTTTACAGTATTCTCCGTACCATGGAGTCCGATGAGTTCTTCATTAACGTAAACGATAACGCTACCCTTCTACGGTGCCATAAATGGGTGTAACTTCTATCGCTACCTTCGTACGGTGCCTTGAATGGGAGTCACTTCTACCGCTATCTTCGTACGTTGCCTTAAATGGAAGTCTTTATGGATCCTGTAAGAATAATTAATTTAATTTATGTATATGTATAATTCATTTACATAAACATTTTCCAGTTGTTGAATGAAGCATTGGCTAATCCTGAGATGGACAACTTTATCAATAAGGACCAACTGGAGAGGTTCCGTGGTACTGGTGGAGTGCGTATTGAGGATGATGTTTTGTTTACTGAAGATGGATGTGTCAACTGGACTAAAATTCCAAAAAGGTATGTTATATTTTGGCAATTTATAATATGTTATATTTTACTATTCTGTTATTCATTCTGTTTTATAGTGTCCAAGAAATTGAAGATTGGATTGGCGGTGTTGATGATGATTCCAAATACGATTGAATGAATTTACAACATTTTGAAGCTGATATTGATATCATTTTTATGTTTTTTGTTAAAAGATATAAAAAGAGCATTATATAATTGCATATTATTATCCTGTTTTCATGCATGTTTTGTTAAAAATGGTGTATATATTGAGAAATTGAGTTTGTGATTCTTCATGTTTCAATAAAATTGTTGTTTTATATTTTTAACTATAAATTTTTATTGTTTTATTTGTTCCAAACGGGGAACATAGCTCGCAACATCGTTACTCCTTTAATTAATTCATAAATCCCTTAAACTTTAATGGAAATGTCACTGCTAGATATGGAAAATTGGTCAAAATCAATTTTATTTTGTATCAATATTAATTTAAAAACGGTATCACTAGTGTCATCTATCCACGAGTAACTAAACTACGCCGCTATTCAAGATTGCTGGAGATTCAGCCTACTGCACATTCTGCGATCCTAATATTCAAAAGAATTTTGTGTATAATTTTACTGGAATTTCTCGACAAAATTTTTTGTGCCATTTTTGTGGTTTTTCAATAATGATGCCATCTTGTCCAGAATTCTTCATGGATCAAGAATATGTAGTTTTTTTCTAGCCCTTCTAGTTGTCGAGATAATTACCATTTAATCTTCATAAATTAAACTACTCTGACGGGATACACGTATTTTATTATAATTGCAAATAGGGCCTAAACGGTTAATGCTAGCAAAAAACTTTACTAAAATAATCGATGTAGAATTAAATTATATATCAGCAGCCTCTAACAAAATATCAAAATTCCAACTTTTAATTTTCAACATAAAAAAGAGAAATCTTTTGCCTTTTTTATAACAAAAACTTTTCATTAAAAATTTTTTGTGCCCATTTCTTCATTTTGAGAAAAATATGTCATCTTGTCTAGAATTCTTCTAGGATCAAGAATATGTAGTTATTTTTATTCTAGCCCTTTTGGTTGTCGAGATAGCCTAATTTATGAAGATTAAATGGTAATTATCTCGACAACTAAAAGGGCTAGAATAAAAATAATTACATATTCTTGATCCTTGAAGAATTCTGGACAAGATGGCATCATTATTCAAAAACCACAAAAATGGCACAAAAAATTTTTAAAGAAAAGATTTTGTTATAAAAAAGGCAAAAGATTTCTCTTTTTTATGTTGAAAATTAAAAGTTGGAATTTTTAAATTCTGTTTTCGGATTATGATTGATAATTTAATTCTACATCGATTATTTTAGTAACTTTTTTGGTTTATAGTAACCGTTTAGGCCCTATTTGCAATTTTAATGAAAACAACATTCGATATAAAAAAGAAAAATGTTTTGCCTTTTTTATGACGAAATCTTTTTTCAGCAAATGCAGGTTCTGTAATAATTGGAATTTTTAAATTCTGTTTTCGGATTCTGAAAGTAGATTAAATTCTGAATCGGAAACCAGTAACACACTTATAGATTAAGGCCCTATAGACTAAGAGCCCGTGACGGCCAGACTTTCGTCATTTTAGGAAAGATGAAATTTTGTCCATGTGTTTCTCTAACACAGGTAAAAACGATCCCCAATTATTAAACCTGGATCGTGGTTCCTTTGGCAGTTAACAGCCAACAAAGATGTACAAATGATGACCTATGTTTCATTATTTTAGCAAACTCCATTTTTACATATTTTGTTCGTAACATTATTACAACATGCACTGCTCATTGCCAGACACCTGGTATGGTTCCAACCCTAGCCAGACACCCCTAAACTACGAGTATAATATTTTTGAACTTTTTTACTTTCGTTATATTAAGAAAGCTGAATTTGATACACATTAGGCAGAGAGCTATGAAACTGTGTTTTCTTTGACGCCAGACAGTTTGGTCGGTTCTGTCATCCTGCCAGACGCATTGAAAGTGTATAAGAGTTGAAAAAGTTAAATTGTTTAAACATGAAATTTTCACATAATAGTAATTTTATTTTAACAAATCTTTATTAATTTTCATCATTGTTCTCGATACCGCGACTGAAAGAGCTCAAAAGTGCAATTTTTCAATTTTTGCGTTTTATTTCAATTGCTAATATCTCGTAAACTAAAGGAGATTGAAAGGAACGAATAGCCAAGATAACGACGACAGTGATGATTATTATTAAATATTTGTTAAATTAAAAATACTATTCTCTGAAAATTTTATGTTTAAACAATGTAACTTTTGCAACTTTTATACAATTTCAATGCGTCTGGCAGGATGATAGAACCGACCAAACTGTCTGGCGTGAAAGAAAACACAGTTTCATAGCTCTCTGCATAATGTGTATCAAATTCAGCTTTCTTAATATAACGAAAGTAAAAAAGTTCAAAAATATTATACTCGTAGTTTAGGGGTGTCTGGCTAGGGTTGGAACCATACCAGGTGTCTGGCAATGAGCAGTGCATGTTGTAATAATGTTACGAACAAAATATGTAAAAATGGAGTTTGCTAAAATAACGAAACATAGGTCATCATTTGTACATCTTTGTTGGCTGTTAACTGCCAAAGGAACCACGATCCAGGTTTCATAATTGGGAATCGTTCTTACCTGTATTGAAGACACACATAGACAAAATTTCATCTTTCCTAAAATGACGAAAGTCTGGCCGTCACTGGCTCTCGCTCTACTACTGGCATGTAAAAAACAGTTTTTTAATTAAAATTGCAAATAGGGCCTAAACGTCAATGTTAGGAAAATAATTACCTAAATAGTCGATATAGAAGTTTAGCTTACAAAATTCGAAAACAGAATTTAAAAAGCCCAATTATACAGAAGCTGCACTTGCTGATAAATGAATTTTAAACATTAATTTTACCCGCCATTAGTTACCGCCAAAACTATATCAGCCTCCTTACACTTTCTGCGATCCGAATACCAAAACCTGAGTTTCGACTGTTTCGAGTCCAAATTTTGTGTCATTTTGCCTCTCAGAGTCGACAAAATAAAGATCGAATATTAGGAACGCAGAAAGTTGAGAAGGCTGATAAAGTTTTGGCGGTAACTAGTAATGTGCTGCCTCTAGTGGCGACGGGTCGAAGCTCAAAACTTTCAGTAGTTTTAGTTTCCAATATAGAGATGGCGCTAGCATGCACTTTTCAAAATAAATGGTTTAAGGATCGTTTAATATGTGATCAGGTTGAAATAACAGAATTAATTAAAATCAGAAATACTTAAAAATATTATTTATTAAAGAAAACACACAAGCAGATAATGAAAAAGAAATTAAATATTCACAATATGATGCCATCTACGATGTCAGGCTCAGGTGCAAAATCCCTAAAACCAACAAAAATGAGTCTTTCGAACATAAAAATGCAATTTTTGGGGTCAATTTGTGAGATTATCACAAAAGTTAATTAGGAAAATGAAAAAGAAATTTAATACTTACAATCTGATGCAAGAATGGTCCTTCTACGATGTCAGACTCAGGTGAAAAATCTCTAAAACCATCAAAAATTAGTAATTTGAACATAAAAATGCAATTTTGGGGGACAATTTGTGAGATAATCACAAAAGTTATTTAGGAAAATGATAAGGAAATTTAGTACTTACAATCTGATACCAGAATGGTCCTTCTACGATGTCAGACTCAGGTGCAAAATCCCTAAAACCATCAAAAATTTGTAATTTGAACATAAAAATGCAATTTTGGGGGTCAATTTGTGAGATAATCACAAAAGTTATTTAGGTAAATGATAAAGAAATTAAATACTTACAATCTGATGCAAGAATGGTCCTTCTACGATGTCAGACTCAGGTGCAAAATCCCTAAAACCATCAAAAATTAGTAATTTGAACATAAAAATGCAATTTTTGGGGTCAATTTGTGAGATAATCACAAAAGTTATTTAGGAAAATGATAAAGAAATTTAGTACTTACAATCTGATACAAGAATGGTCCTTCTACGATGTCAGACTCAGGTGCAAAATCCCTAAAACCATTAAAAATTAGACCTTCGAACATAAAAATGCAATTTTGGGAGTCAATTTGTGAAATAATCACAAAATTTATTTAAGAAAATGATAAAGAATTTTAATACTTACAATCTGATGCAAAAATGGTCCTTCTACAATGTAAGACTCAGGTGCAAAATCCCTAAAACCATAAAAAATTAGTAATTTGAACATAAAAATGCAATTTTGGGGGTCAATTTCTGAGATAATCACAAAAGTTATTTAAGGAAATAATAAAGAAACTTAATACTTACAATCTGATGCAAGAATGGTTTTCTACGATATCAGACTCAGGTGCAAAATCCCTAAAACCATCAAAAATTAGTAATTTGAACATAAAAATGCAATTTTGGGGCTAAATTTGTGAGATAATCACAAAGGGTATTTAGAAAAATGATAAAGAAATTAAATACTTACAATCTGATGCAAGAATGGTCCTCTACGATGTCAGACTCAGGTGCAAAATCTCTAAAACAAGCAAAAATTAGTCCTTCGAACAGAAAAATGCAATTTTGGGTGGCAATTTGTGAGATAATCACAAAAGTTATTTAGGAAAATGATAAAGAAATTTAGTACTTATAATTTGATACCAGAATGGTTCTTCTACGATGTCAGACTCAGGTGGAAAATCCCTAAAACCATGAAAAATTAGTCCTTCGAACAGAAAAATGCAATTTTGGGGGTCAATTTGTAAGATAATCACAAAAGTTAATTAGGAAAATGATAAAGAAATCTGATACTTACAATATGATGCAAGAATGGTCCTCATACGATGTCAGAATCAGGTGCAAAATCTCGAAACAAGCAAAAATTAGTCCTTCGAACAGAAAAATGCAATTTTTGGTGGCAATTTGTGAGATAAACACAAAAGTTATTAAGGAAAATGATAAAGAAATCTAATACTTACAATATGATGCAAGAATGGTCTTTCTACGATGTCAGTCTCAGGTGCAAAATCCCTAAAACCAGCAAAAATTTGTCCTTCAAACATAAAAACGCAAATTTGGGGGCCAATTTGTGAGATAATCAAAAAAGTTATTTAGGGAAATGATAAAGAAATCTAATACTTACAATATGATGCAAGAATGGTCTTTCTACGATGTCAGACTCAGGTGCAAAATCCCAAAAACAAGCAAAAATTAGTCCTTCGAACATAAAAATGCAATTTTGGAGGTTAATTTGTGAGATAATAACAAAAGTTATTTAGGGAAATGATAAAGAAATCTAATACTTACAATATGATGCAAGAATGGTCTTTCTACGATGTCAGACTCAGGTGCAAAATCCCTAAAACCAGCAAAAATTTGTCCTTCAAACATAAAAACGCAAATTTGGGGGTCAATTTGTGAGATAATCAAAAAAGTTATTTAGGGAAATGATAAAGAAATCTAATACTTACAATATGATGCAAGAATGGTCTTTCTACGATGTCAGACTCAGGTGCAAAATCCCTAAAACAAGTAAAAATTAGTCCTTCGAACATAAAAATGCAATTTTGGGGGGCAATTTGTGAGATAATAACAAAAGTTATTTAGGGAAATGATAAAGAAATCTAATACTTACAATATGATGCAAGAATGGTCTTTCTACGATGTCAGACTCAGGTGCACAATCCCTATAACAAGTAAAAATTAGTCCTTCGAACATAAAAATGCAATTTTGGGGGGCAATTTGTGAGATAATAACAAAAGTTATTTAGGGAAATGATAAAGAAATCTAATACTTACAATATGATGCAAGAATGGTCCTTCTACGATTTCAGACTCAGGTGCAAAATCTTTAAAACCAGCAAAAATTAGTCCTTCAAACAGAAAAATGCCATTTTGGGGGCCAATTTGTGACATAATCACAAAAGTTATTTAGGAAAATGATAAAGAAATTTAGTACTTACAATCTGATATCAGAATGGTCCTTCTACTATGTCAGACTCAGGTGCAAAATCCCTAAAACGAGCAAAAATTAGTCCTTTAAACAGAAAAATGCAATTTTGGGGGTCAATTTGTGAGATAATCACAAAAGTTATTTAGGAAAATGATAAAGAAATTTAGTACTTACAATCTGTAACCAGAATGGTCCTTCTACGATGTCAGACTCAGGTGCAAAATCCCTAAAACCATCAAAAATTAGTAATTTGAACATAAAAATGCAATTTTGGGAGTCAATTTGTTAGATAATCACAAAAGTTATTTAGGAAAATGATAAAGAAATTGAATACTTACAATCTGATACCAGAATGGTCCTTCTACGATGTCAGACTCAGCTGCAAAATTCCTAAAACAAGCAAAAATTAGTCCTTCGAACAGAAAAATGCAATTTTGGGGCCAATTTGTGACATAATCCCAAAAGTTATTTAGGCAATTGATATAAAATTTTAATACTTACAATCTGATACAAAAATGGTCCTTCTACGATGTCAGACTCAGGTGCAAGATTCCTAAAACCAGCAAAAATTAGTCCTATGAACAAAGAATTGCAATTTTGGGGGTCAATTTGTGAGATAATCACAAAAGCTATTTAGGAAAATGATAAAGAAATCTAATACTTACAATATGATGCAAGAATGGTCTTTCTACGATGTCAGACTCAGGTGCAAAATCCCTCAAACAAGCAAAAATTAGTCCTTGGAACAGAGAAATGCAATTTTGGGAGCCAATTTGTGACATAATCACAAAAGTTATTTAGGCAAGTGATAAAGAATTTTAATTCTTACAATCTGGTGCAAAAATGGTCCTTCTACAGTGTCAGACTCAGGTGCAAAATCCCTAAAACCATTAAAAATTAGACCTTCGAACATAAAAATGCAATTTTGGGAGTCAATTTGTGAAATAATCACAAAATTTATTTAAGAAAATGATAAAGAATTTTAATACTTACAATCTGATGCAAAAATGGTCCTTCTACAATGTAAGACTCAGGTGCAAAATCCCTAAAACCATAAAAAATTAGTAATTTGAACATAAAAATGCAATTTTGGGGGTCAATTTCTGAGATAATCACAAAAGTTATTTAAGGAAATAATAAAGAAACTTAATACTTACAATCTGATGCAAGAATGGTTTTCTACGATATCAGACTCAGGTGCAAAATCCCTAAAACCATCAAAAATTAGTAATTTGAACATAAAAATGCAATTTTGGGGCTAAATTTGTGAGATAATCACAAAGGGTATTTAGAAAAATGATAAAGAAATTAAATACTTACAATCTGATGCAAGAATGGTCCCTCTACGATGTCAGACTCAGGTGCAAAATCTCTAAAACAAGCAAAAATTAGTCCTTCGAACAGAAAAATGCAATTTTGGGTGGCAATTTGTGAGATAATCACAAAAGTTATTTAGGAAAATGATAAAGAAATTTAGTACTTATAATTTGATACCAGAATGGTTCTTCTACGATGTCAGACTCAGGTGGAAAATCCCTAAAACCATGAAAAATTAGTCCTTCGAACAGAAAAATGCAATTTTGGGGGTCAATTTGTAAGATAATCACAAAAGTTAATTAGGAAAATGATAAAGAAATCTGATACTTACAATATGATGCAAGAATGGTCCTCATACGATGTCAGAATCAGGTGCAAAATCTCGAAACAAGCAAAAATTAGTCCTTCGAACAGAAAAATGCAATTTTTGGTGGCAATTTGTGAGATAAACACAAAAGTTATTAAGGAAAATGATAAAGAAATCTAATACTTACAATATGATGCAAGAATGGTCTTTCTACGATGTCAGTCTCAGGTGCAAAATCCCTAAAACCAGCAAAAATTTGTCCTTCAAACATAAAAACGCAAATTTGGGGGCCAATTTGTGAGATAATCAAAAAAGTTATTTAGGGAAATGATAAAGAAATCTAATACTTACAATATGATGCAAGAATGGTCTTTCTACGATGTCAGACTCAGGTGCAAAATCCCAAAAACAAGCAAAAATTAGTCCTTCGAACATAAAAATGCAATTTTGGAGGTTAATTTGTGAGATAATAACAAAAGTTATTTAGGGAAATGATAAAGAAATCTAATACTTACAATATGATGCAAGAATGGTTCTTCTACGATGTCAGACTCAGGTGCAAAATCCCTAAAACCAGCAAAAATTTGTCCTTCAAACATAAAAACGCAAATTTGGGGTCAATTTGTGAGATAATCAAAAAAGTTATTTAGGAAATGATAAAGAAATCTAATACTTACAATATGATGCAAGAATGGTCTTTCTACGATGTCAGACTCAGGTGCAAAATCCCTAAAACAAGTAAAAATTAGTCCTTCGAACATAAAATGCAATTTTGGGGGCAATTTGTGAGATAATAACAAAAGTTATTTAGGGAAATGATAAAGAAATCTAATACTTACAATATGATGCAAGAATGGTCTTTCTACGATGTCAGACTCAGGTGCACAATCCCTATAACAAGCAAAAATTAGTCCTTCGAACAGAAAAATGCAATTTTGGGGGTTAATTTGTGAGATAATAACAAAAGTTATTTAGGGAAATGATAAAGAAATCTAATACTTACAATATGATGCAAGAATGGTCCTTCTACGATTTCAGACTCAGGTGCAAAATCCCTAAAACAAGCAAAAATTAGTACTTCAAACAGAAAAATGCAATTTTGGGGGCCAATTTGTGACATAATCACAAAAGTTATTTAGGAAAATGATAAAGAAATTTAATACTTACAATCTGATGCAAGAATGGTCCTTCTACGATGTCAGACTCAGGTGCAAAATCCCTAAAACGAGCAAAAATTAGTCCTTTAAACAGAAAAATGCAATTTTGGGGGTCAATTTGTGAGATAATCACAAAAGTTATTTAGGAAAATGATAAAGAAATTTAGTACTTACAATCTGTAACCAGAATGGTCCTTCTACGATGTCAGACTCAGGTGCAAAATCCCTAAAACCATCAAAAATTAGTAATTTGAACATAAAAATGCAATTTTGGGAGTCAATTTGTTAGATAATCACAAAAGTTATTTAGGAAAATGATAAAGAAATTGAATACTTACAATCTGATACCAGAATGGTCCTTCTACGATGTCAGACTCAGCTGCAAAATTCCTAAAACAAGCAAAAATTAGTCCTTCGAACAGAAAAATGCAATTTTGGGGGCCAATTTGTGACATAATCCCAAAAGTTATTTAGGCAATTGATATAAAATTTTAATACTTACAATCTGATACAAAAATGGTCCTTCTACGATGTCAGACTCAGGTGCAAGATTCCTAAAACCAGCAAAAATTAGTCCTATGAACAAAGAATTGCAATTTTGGGGGTCAATTTGTGAGATAATCACAAAAGCTATTTAGGAAAATGATAAAGAAATCTAATACTTACAATATGATGCAAGAATGGTCTTTCTACGATGTCAGACTCAGGTGCAAAATCCCTCAAACAAGCAAAAATTAGTCCTTGGAACAGAGAAATGCAATTTTGGGAGCCAATTTGTGACATAATCACAAAAGTTATTTAGGCAAGTGATAAAGAATTTTAATTCTTACAATCTGGTGCAAAAATGGTCCTTCTACAGTGTCAGACTCAGGTGCAAAATCCCTAAAACCAGCCAAAATTAGTCCTTCGAACATAAAAATGTTATTTTGGGGTTTGATTTGTGACATAATCACAAAAGTTATTTGGGCAAGTGATAAAGAATTTTAATTCTTACAATCTGGTGCAAAAATGGTCCTTCTACAGTGTCAGACTCAGGTGCAAAATCCCTAAAACCAGCAAAAATTAGTCCTTCGAACATAAAAATGTTATTTTGGGGTTTGATTTGTGACATAATCACAAAAGTTATTTAGGCAAATGATAAAAGATTTTAAAGCTTACAATCTGATACGAGAATGGTCCTTCAACGATGTCAGACTCAGGTGCAAAATTTCTAAAACCAACAAAAATCAGTTCTTCGAAGACAAAAATGTAATTTTGAGGGTTAGTTTGTTACATAATCACAAAAGTTATTTTGGAAATTATTTAGGATGTCAGACTCTGGTGCAAAATCCTTAAAAAAATCCTTAAATCCCTATAAATCATGCAAACTAAAAGTGATAGAAAAGAACGCATTGAAAATCTACCAGAAATACTTTATAAAATATGTAAATTGGAAATCAAAGAACTAAATATAATAAATCAGAAGGAAAAATAGACATAATAAGAGGCATTGGAAATAGATCATAATGAAAAATTGACAAATAATTAAATGGCAATTATCTCACTTTTCTTTGCGCTCACAATTTTAATTTAACATGAAAATCAAACGTATATTTGTCTCCCGAATTAACATTGAAATAAATAAACAATAAATCCAATAGAAATTACCAGTCATCAGAAGACATCTTACACTTGGCAATCACTAGACATAGGATAAAACTATTCACTTTTATTATTAAATGTTAAACAAGTTAAAATATCAAGAAAAATGAAGAATCACTATGAAGATCGACTGATGAACAAAACACGTGCTTGTCGCACCACAGAGCGCGACCAACTAATCAAAATATACAATTGATAACCAGCGCATCCAAGATCATATCAGCGCCAACCGGTTTATACAAACGGTGCAAAATTGCCATCTTCTAGTCCTTGCTTGACTAGTCCATTTAATTTCTGGCATAATTGCTAGTTAAACTTTTAAAGTTTCGTGGTTTCAATAAATTTGAACGATCAACAATATTTTAACAAAAATATTTTTTCTTGTTTTTTGACATAAAAAAGATCAAATAAAAATTTTCAACGAAAATTAATTTTAAATATTTCTGTACTTCAACGAAAATTGAATTTTGAAAACCAAGAAAACCAAGTTTTCTACTCTAAAGTAGTAACTCGTGTAAGTTACTACAACCAGATGGCGCATTATACACTGTTTATTAAATTAATAATTTTAGATCACTTTGCTACTTTTGCTTATTAATGCATTTATTGTATAATAAAATACTCAACCATCATAAATAATATTGCATTGTATTTTAATGAAGTCAGCATAAAATTATACAAATAACGCATTTTAAAACTAAATAAATTTCTTTCTTTCTTTTTACCTGACTTTCAAATTTAGAAAAAAAGGCTAATTTGAACGCACGAGCAGCTGCAATCTTGAAATAATTTCAATTGAGTTTATTTTAATCGCTCTCTAATAATTTAATACTATTCTAACTCGCAACTTGTTTAAGTTGGAAGTTTGGACATAATTGGAGAGGGGCTAATCCCAATTTATAGATTACCACATATTTTCGATGGTGCAACGACGGAAATGTACAATTTGATGTTAACACGATATTCGTGACACCTCGAAAAACTTCCGCGTCGACAAGCTGCGAATGTTCAAGATACTTGACTTCACAGGTCTTCACATTACAGGTAAGATAAAAGCAAGCTGACAACTTCTTGACGTGATGCACATGCCAGCGATTAGAACAGTTTACATCCAAAAATAGAAACATACACACACATTAAATAATTATCTAATCCCGAAAAAATAATCACCTGGCTATCAAACGCTGGAAGTTAACAATACGTATTTTTAATTTCTCCGTTCTTCATGCAACCTTAAAACAGTTAATTCCGCACTTAAAAATCTACATCCTCATCATAATAAAACGCTCGCTAAAGATGTTCCGAAGCGTCTTAAGCGCCTTTCCTATTCTGCGTTTCAATTGGCTGAATTTGGTTGAATTGAATGCCATTGTTTCCACGCTGTGAGAGCGCATTTCGAGCGTTTCAATTAAACAACCGTACGTTCTGCCTACATTAACGCACACATTTGCATATTATCCATTATCTTCACTGCCTCCTTCACTGCCATTTACCTAGCATTGTGTTTTTGTGGCCACATTTGCATCGAGAATTAGTAATTTAGTTACTCGTAACTCGCTCGCTTTCTATTGGCGCTGGCAAAATTCACAAATTGCACCGTTACACGCCGAATATGTGCGCTACGCCGGAAAGAACAATAGAGCGGATTGGCCGCATCAAAAATATTCATCAATCTCTTTGGGTCTCAAAGTCGTTCGCGGCTGAGAACGTCGGCACGTCGGAAATAACAGTGGAAAACAAACATGATGCCTCGCTTCAGATGGCTAACAATGGCGTTAACTATGGATTTAATGATTGGTTCGAACGACGAGGCGAGAAGGAAGAACGTTTGGATTAGCGGTAATACGTAGAAAGTTTTCAGATTTGCATGTCGGGCGATTATCGGCGAGATAAACGAAAGAATGCTGAGGAATAAATACAATCTAACTGTACTTAAATGTGGCCATCTTCAACTCAATCGGTAAAGTATAGTATACGCATGTTTTGTCCAAAGTATTAATTATTATTCGTATTTTTTAAAATTTCTATTACTTTAGCTTCAATTTTTTTTCTTTAAAATAAAAACAAAGCAAAATATTTTATAATCTTTTTTTAATGGTTCCACCTGCAAACAAAAGTTTTTTTCGTTTCAGATGCTAAAGATGCACGTTGAAATCAAGTCGAAAACGGCGTTAACGAGCGTTAAACGATCTGATTAGCTTGAAATTTATTGCTCTCTGAAAAGCACAAAATCGATGCGTTACACACACCCTCTAATTAGATATGTTAACGTTTCATCGATTTCCATCCGAGCGCACGGTGCGCAATCGATCAAACTCGGAATACTCGTACGTAAATACATATTCATGCGCTTGCATCTTGCTGCAACTTCTTAAACACTAAGATTACCAATCGGGCGTTTTGCAATGTGCAGCCACGAAAAGTTGGAATTTAGAACGTTTATAGCTGTAATAACCTCGGATGTTTTGCGTTGAATATTTTTTGTTTGCTTGTTTATGCGTTGTTTAATTTTTTGGCAATTTGCGATCGAAATCTTAGAGCGATCCTAAATTTTGGCCCACGTGCCGGTTGGGAGAAGCAGTTGCCTCATTAGTGTGGTATAAGTGTGCTAATGTTTTATGCATTTTGGGAGTTGCAGCACACCCTCAAGAACAACAGATGGCTATTGTTTTTTGTTTTGTATGTTTTTTGGGTGAAACAACCGTTTTTATATGCTGTAATATTTCGCAAAAATACTTTGAATTAAAATTGCATATTTAGGCATTTTTTTTGTAAAATTTCTGGTGTAGCTTCACTAAAATAGATTAAATAAGCCGTAAAATACAAAATATCTTGCATTTTTTGTTAATATTATCAACAAGATAACCGATTTTATAATTGCTGTTGATATGAATTATAAACATGGAATTTTTGTAATAAAATGTTAAAAATATGCAAAAATGACAAAAATATTGAATAAAATGTAACATAATTCATAATACAACAAAACAATTACCATGTTTTCTTCATTGAACAAACAGCTGAATAGTATATCAAATTATTATCATATTTATTCCATAAAAAGAGAGAAATCTTGTCAAACGTAAGACATGTAAATACTTTAAGTACTATCTGCGGATATTTTGACGGCTATTGTTTATTTTCTTAAAAAAATACTTTTTGTGAAGTTTTGTACCCACATTCACCATATTTTTTAACTCCCGTATAGTTAATTATTGTGTACAATTTTAATAACACAATATTTATTTTTTATCCGCACACGAAAGTCAAAAAGACTTTTGTAAGAAGCGGATGTGAAAGACATTATAGGACATAAAAAACAAGTCAACACAAGTCGTACAATATAAGAAATGCATAAAAATCATACCGAAGAACCCTCATCGGAACTGGATCAAACGATGAATGAAAAATGCCACAACGTATAATTTATACGAATATTTAATTATAGCCATCGATGAGTAGTCGAATCTCTTTAAAAAATAGAGTCATCTGTTGTCATATGCAATATGTTCCACTTTTCCACTTTTTCGAATGTTTTACCTGATTTTTTATGCGTTTTTCAAGTAATTGAATAAATTGTAGTTGCTTCGAGCGTAATAACTAGTCAAACTTGGACAAATCACGTCAGGAAAACCTAGCAGCCAATTGAAATACTTTGCTGGCTCATACATAAGCAGTTTTCGTGGTCAAACGAGCGAGTAATTGCCGTCTCAGTAGATTTTAATATGCACGAATCGACCGCGATAATTGCACATTTTCGTCTCGCTTATTTATTCATAGTGAAACACCGCCGCCATTGTTACACGGCGTTGACATTTTCGCATCTTTATAATTTACTAAATTATCATTCGCGTCGCACGCCGGCAATTTGCAGAATTGCTAAATGCATTAAACACACGTATTAGCTCAGCGCAGCATTGACTATGTGCGATTTTTGCGCGGTAAATAATTGAGCGCTGATATTATTTATTATGCAAATGTTTGGTTGAGCGAAAAGAAGCGACCGCTTGGAATAAGTGAGCGTAGCGCTGCACAAAGTGATTTTACATAACTTTTGTAGCGGCACGGGCGGCATTTTCAATTAAAATTGCAGAAAATATTGAAATTACTCGACGGCAAAGAAATCCAATGCGATGCCAACCATTTTAATAACAATTAGCCACCCATTCGTCTTATCATATCTTCGGGTTGGTATAAAACAGCGAATGACTCGCCAATTAATAATACTTTAGTTTTTTTCCAGCTCGCGAATTTTTTGTTTTGTTTGCATTTTTATGTATTTCTGAGCGCTTCTGGTTGCTACCGCAATTTTTCGGCGTTTACACAGGTAGCCAATCATGACAAGTCGATTAATTTTAGTTAAAATTCCTCATTTATATTCAATAAATTTCGAAACGTCGCACTTTCGTAATTGGCATATTTTTACCATCGTTAATTGTGAATTGTATTTACCTATTGCTCTTCAAAAAATGCATCGAAATCTAAGCTGTCGGTAATTAGCTGCGCAATTATATCAATTATCGTTGAAATAATTTTGTTTTGCGATTGCGCTCGATCGCTCGTCACACGCTTACACATTTCTCGCTTCTTGTTTCATAGTTTAAACTTTTTAGTTGCCTCTCAGCGCGCTTTTTCATGCCGATGTCGATGCCGTTTCAGTGCATGTCGAAACAGAATTTCTAGTCATTACGTATTTATAAGCTGCACTCGCGTCGGTTCTGTTCCTGCTGACTGTAGGAAGTTACACAATTATACGCGCGTTTCTCGGCGCAGCGCAAAAAAACACAAAAGAAACGCGCATGAAAAAATGTATCCACATGTATAAAACATTATGAAAAAACAACAGCGATATAGTCGAAGTGTTACCGTTCGTTTGTTCTTGTTAAACGGGGTACGCACAGTGCGAACATCAATCATGTTCCAAATATTTTCTATTTCCACCTGCCGCATCCACCGATATCCGTCATAATCATTCAGGAAGTAACCAGAAACATATTTAATTTATAGAATAATTTTTTTGTTAAAAAATTTGTTTTTTTTTTTGCGTTGCAAAGAGTTGAAAAAAACAATAATATAGTGGTTATGTTTGCCCACGGGTGTAACTAATTTCGCACACGATG